AGTGCCGCGCGAACATCTCCGTTAATCCAGGGTTTTTGATTTGGGAAGGATTTAACTGTTCTGGATGGGACGACATCTTCCACGCATTTCCTGATAAATCCGCAGACTGAGTCTGTGTATTCGTCAATGTCCCTAGCAGCCACGTGAAACATTTCACCCCTAAATTATTTTATAAATACCACACACAGACCACAACGCATGCGTCAGGGTCAGTGAAGGTTAAAAAAAGACCAGGGAAAAAGGGAGTGAGTGGATGGACGTCGTGAGGGAACAAAATCACTAAGAAAATTATTTTTTCATTTTTTAAATACAATTTTTTAAAACACCTTTTAAACAAAATATCAAATATTCTGATAAATATAAATATCATAAAATCTGATTTTAGATCAGATGCAAATTTGTGAAAAAACACATGGAAAATTGTGGGGTTATTGTTATTTGATGAGCTTTGCGATCTGTCCAAGGGTATCCTGTCATTTGCCTCATGAACCGTCCCCCTGACACTAGACTGAATACCTCAATTCAATTTTCAAAGAAAACAAAATTAGAAGACCATCAATAGTCCTGTCCAGTAATATCCTTTATGCTGTCTTTGACCCTCATAAATGTGTATGTGTTTATGGCGTTTTAACCGTTTTTTCAGTGTCCTGTTACACACTTGTAAAATATGCATTTTTTTTTTTACCATGCTTGCTATCCCATGTTTACCAATATTACGATATTAAAGAGACCCTTAATTTGCCTATTTATTACTCACTTTGACATGTAGAGCCTTGATTCTAACAATTCCATGTCTAACACTGATAAGATTACAAAGATCGTGGTATATACATAACATTTTTCTTTTCCTGATTTAAATAATAATACACATTAGAGGTCCAGCTGGTACCTGCTCCTTGAATCTGTATGACTTGGCTTGCATCCACCAATAGTCTTGGGTTGGTCAACATCAACAGTGCTCTCAGAATCAGTGTCTGCTAAAAGTTTGGATTTCTGCATCTTCATGGAAAATTACAAACACTGAATGTCATTAGTAACACACTATTTCTCTTCTTAGAGGACAGGAACCGGTGAGGTATTCTTGGGTGTTCCTGTCATAGTAGTGACCTTCTACACCTGATCTGAAGAACAAAGAAAGCATGCCCATGTTCTGCTACTACACATTTTACCTAATCAAGTTGTTCTTGGGTTCATTTTCCTATCAACAGAACAAAGAAAGGAAGACTAAACTGAAAGAATAAACAGTCGAGTCCAGTCAGGACAACTTTCCTGCAACATCAACTCTAAATCAAGGCCAACCTAACGAGTTTGCCAGACTACAGCAACATTTACCATAAGGTCTTAATTTTATTGGTACAAGTTCTCTCTGAAACCTGTAAGAGCTGACATTTATTGTATTTTTCTTCTCTGCCCAAATAGCTACGACATCATTTTCACCCTGATCTTCAACATTCTTGTTTTTTTTCCTGTTAGAATTTTGTTTTTGTTATGGGCAATTTCCTCTGTATATTCTCACAGGAGATACTGATTTTAGTCATTCAATCGTACTGAATAAACATGTCTTTAAAACAACATGCTTTGAACTGCCAGATATCTATTTAAAGATCATTCAAGCAGCTGAGGGACTCACTTACAGTGCAAAAGGTCAGTAAATAGTTCTATATTTTCAAAGCGTGGGTGATGATTATCAACAGATCTGCTCAGTAAGCTCGGTCAACAGCGCTACACCCAGTCAGTGATAAGTTTAGTCATCAGCCACCTCCCTCTCTGAACAACAGACTTGGTATCGCTTTTGATTAAACTTTGCAAACACTACCTTCACTGGAGTTACTCAAATCCTCGATCTGCACTAAAATGCCCTGTAATCTTATCAGTTTTAACCCTGTTTTTATGAAGAGAACAATCTGTTCAGATGACTGCTTGGATTTTAGGGAACACCTTCTCAAACATCACAATCTGAACAAACATTTAAAGACCTATCGAGATCAGTCAATCTGTGGCATACACCTAGAATTTTTCTGATAACTGAACCATATAAGTCTCAGGTTTTTGCTGCACTGGATGTTGGCTGTGAAATTTCCCTGCTTACAAGGTACAGTTGAAACCTGCAACATAACTGAAATCTTTCAGTTATCTTGCACAATTAATTTGGTTGCATAGGTATTTTTTATTTAAAAATGGGATGTTAACATAAAAAATGCATAACTTATTCTTGTATTTTCTGCAATTTTCCAGTTGGCTCACATTTCTTCAAGATGAGTGCTGGTGACAAGCGTCTTCTTTTTCATTGTGTTCTTCTGTCTGCCATGTAGGTATCATATGTATCATAAAAACAGGAATACATTATTTTTAACTTGCATTGGCTTTATTGTAACTTCAACAAATCTTCAAAATCTTCAGGGTTTCATGCCATGGCAACAATCCTTTCTTCAATGATAATAAAAACCTCATACTTCCGGCGTCCTACAATATTCCGTGGATGGCTGGCATTGAGGATTTCCGCCCCCTGTCTCTTATCACCATCCCCGGCAGTCACAGCAGCATGGCTCGGCATGGAGGCCCTGAGTCAGAATACCAGGTCCTGTCTCTGAGTGACCAGCTCAGAGCTGGAATTCGTTTCCTGGATCTCAAAGTGTTGGAACTGGAAGGCACCCTCTACGTCATGCATGGGGTGATATACGAGCGCAGCACATTCAGAGATGTTCTGGACACTGTTAAAGCTTTCTTGTCTGAGTTTAACAGTGAGGCTGTGCTGATTAGAGTGGTGCCAGCGATTTTGAACAAGAATAAGGTAAATGAAATGGTGCAGAATCTGATTAGCAATGACCAGCACGTGTGGGTGACCTCTGGCATGCCGAATATAGGCCAGGTGAGGGGGAAATTGGTCTTTTTGCAGAAAAGCACCTTCACACTAGGAATTCCTCTCACAGAGACGGATGAGAATAGCAGCAACAAGGTTAGCAGAGTTAAAGAAGAGGACAACAAACTAATCAAACAGCTGGCCCAAGCCACTGAGGCTTGTGGGGGTGATAACGTTGTTTTGACTTACACAAGCGGCACTGGCTTTGGGACTTTCCTAGGAATGTTTCTGACCCCAAAAAGAGTGGCAGAAAAGGTGAACCCATGGCTCAATCAGTACCTCAGGCAGTTTTATCCCAATCATCCCAGACCATGCTTTGGGATTATTGCCATGGACTTCCCTGGCTTTGACCTCATTCAAACTGTTATCAATTTGAACTGGTGGTAGAGGTTAAGTAGCTTTAACTCCTAATCAAAAGATCGAGAGCTAAAATGACATGCATTACTATGAAATTGTTCCTATGACATTTCTGTCATTCTTCACTGTAAGGCAGTGTTTCCTGAACAGCACAACAACCTCTGATGTTAACTTTGATGAAAGTGAAATCAATAAATCAATCAATCTTATTTTGTTGCCTGTTTTTCAGTGAAGCCTGTTTCAGGCTGTTTCATCTCAGTGACAGTTGAATATGGTTTAATCTGATTTTTATAGTAGGTAAAAGCAACACTATAAATGTAAAGAAAATACAAGTGCATAGTTCAAAAATCAGTAAAGGTATCTGCAAACTATTG